ACCAAAGAGCTTTGCAGTGCATTATTTATTCACTCCACCCTTGGTGGTGGTAAGCTCCTATTGTAGCCACAGCTGCCTCGGGGCAGACTTATGTAAGCGAGGCTGCCAATCTGTGCCATTGGCCCCTCCGACCACCACCAACACTCACACACACCACACGGACCAACTCTGCACTAAGACAGTTGCATGTGCACCTTCAAATCATGTTGAACTGTTTGTCAGAATGAACGGCAGAGGAAAAGTAAGTGACTGGGAGGCATCACATTTCCATGTGATACTATTTATATCAATAGAACAAGGATGACCCAGTAACTCAGATCATGCAACCTATGAATGAAATAAGAAGACACGTGCACATGACAGGACCTTGTTTGGCTGGTCATAGATGACAGTTCAATTCTAATTGCAGTAACCAGTGAACGCTCCAGTGGACTTGATTCATGGAACTTTATTTTACACATCCTCAGGTAGATGTAAGCGATCTAGCATTTACATTATCTCAAAAATGGAAATACTGAAGAATGACCTCCAAACCTCCCAAAACCTTCCTTCAACCTTTGGGGTCACAGACAAGCTCACAGTGAACATGATCAGAATCTCATATGCGCTCAACTCTCAAGTACACACTACAATTCTTTTCTAATGCAACAGGTAAAATCCATGCTCACTTTATCCAACATTTTATTAATTGTCTACTGTTTAAACTTACTGTTAAGTTTTAAGTTTTCCTAAAACTTAAAACTAAAAGTCAATGTGTTACAAAGGGCCCTTGTACAAGTGAAGGGGAACCTGTAAAAGTTTGCAGAAGTTGAATGTCTATTCATTCATGTTTGTGTAGCACCAAGAAAGTTGTATTCACACACACTGTGATCAGCTGTAAATGGAAGTAACAAACAAAAAAATAAATTAATATAGCTATATAAATTTAGCAGTTTTGCAATGAGATTTGGGCACATTCCATAAAGCATGTATAAAATGGAAAGGACTATTTTGTCATTGACTTAATGGCTTTCTATGAATAATACATATCTTCATCTATCTTTAATATACATAGAAATGCTTGTAAAGAATCATTTAAGAGTTCAACAAACCATGGTTCAACCATGAAGCAGTGCTCAGTTCATGTTTATGAGATGATCTGATGTGTGCGAGCCAATCAGAGCCAAGCAGACATTATCATATAACTGTCCATCAGCAGCGGCCAGGTCATGGTCAATCATGCTATAGTGTTTGAGCTACTACATGTAATTATAATATTCTCTCTCCCCTTTCAGCACAGGTAAGGTAATTCCACTGTACCCCAATGGTCATTTCTAATCATTCTGTTAACAAGCTCTCAATGGCTGAATTTGTTCAAGAAGTTTGTAGAAAATTTGTTGATGTCATGATTAGACATACTCAAATAATCCATGGCCGCACTGAGATTTTTGGCATTTTCAACATGGAGAAGCTCTATAGATAGTAACATGTTTGAAAAGTGGAGGGGAAATCAATAAAGAAGTGTTCCCACAGAGATGGCCCTGTCAAGATGAAAATGAAGATGATGATGATCATAATGATAAAATGAAAATGCAGTGTAGAAATGTAAATGGTGCTTGCACTGATGGCACGAGCGGCGGCTCCGTGGCACTGGTTGCTATGCCTTTGTCCCACTGACACCACATCGGTGACAGCTGTGGGTCTACTCCTTTAAATGAGCCTTTGCGCATAGCCTTCGAAACACCACAACTGCATCAGTGCTGGCTGGGTTGCTTAGCAACTGGACAGCACAGAGATCCCTGAAGAAAGCCTCCTCCTCTGTATAAAACACAAGCTTGTATGATTCTTGCATTGTGATGTGCGCGCAGTTGCAGTTTGCACCAAGGATGTTTGCTCGTGATCATACAAATAAAGGACATTCAAATCTAAACAGTGCGTAATAAAAGTGCCGTGCTCGCCAATGTGTGTGGGTGCGTGCCAATGTCTGTGCGAGTCAGAAATATGGAGAAGTAAAGGAAATACTTTAACACCCAGAGCGCACAGAGATGGCACCCTAAAGAGATAGAGGGATACTGTTGTCCCATGAACATTCAGTGGCAAAGTAATTCACCTTTATTGCATCCCCGTATGCTCCAGGACAACGGTAGAATCTAAACCCTCTGTGTGTAGACCTCACAGACAAAAGACTGAGATTTGCTGCTTGCGTGCGCGCGGACTGTTGAATGTGTCATTTGTTTGGAGCTGCGAGCAGAGCACATTGACGCGCGTCCATTTAGCGTCTGACAGCGAAGCAAGTGGACTTCACATAGGTCTGCATGTTTGGTAAGCTGACGCGCTCATACATAGGCAGCAGTATCGGGGGCTATCCATACTCTATTTCTCGGCAACTCATTTTTTTCAGCAGAGGAGTGATATAGCCTGCTCTGACGTCTGCATCAGATATTACCCAATGCTTTTTCAATGTGCATTTTCCCCTCAGTGACTTTGCGCTGATCTACATCATCATCGGCGGCAGCAGCAGTATCAACGGGGGCAAAAGGGAATGAAGATTTGTTTTTTGTGTTTTAGAAGAAGCCCACCGCTCCCTGCGCCCGGCAGCGTCCCCAGCTCTCACCGATATCTTTGAAGACCATCACGTTGTGGAGTAGTCTGGCGCCCTATCCTCGCTGGAACCATGCCTCTTTTGCAGATTAGGACTGGGAAACTGTATCCACCGATTTGATCACCGCTGCCCGCTGCTGCTGCTCAGTCATTCATGCCAGTGTTTGTGTTTTTCAGGAGAGCAGTTGTCATCACTTTTAAAAGTATTGTGTGCGCGTTTTTTCAGCAAGATGTCTGATCTTCTGGTGTTGATCGAGGGGCTATGTGACTTGCACGGATTTCCATAGCCAAGGAAAACAGCGGGGGCCAATTACCACGTTTGTTTGCAAAAGAGCCACAATTTCCCCAAGACACTGCATGCGTAGATGTAGGCTAGTCTACTGGACATTCTTTAGAGGCAATTATTTTTGATTGCCACTTTTATTTTGTGTGTTTTTGGGAGGACCACTGGACTGGTTGGATTATATGAACTATATCTAGCATACGGATTTGTGGAGATGTTGGGTCGTCAAGAAGATAAATTATGTGGAATCTTCTCTGCTCTGGCGGCTTTGTCCTTCGTATGCTTTATTCAAAGGTAAGAAAACGACGCGAAGCCTTTCACACCAATAAACCTGATTAACGTTCAATGAAAGGCTCAGATGTGGCAAATCGCATTAAGGCACTACCAGGCCTACTTATTAGGAGCAATGTGGATGCATATGCGCTCTATTAGACTGTTGTGGCTGACGTGTGCGTAAAAGTCAACGCGCGCGTGCACAACATATGAAAGCTATTGAAAATGTAACCTATCCTCATATTAAAAACGTCTCCATGGTTACTGAATACGGAGACACTTTAATTATCAGCCTAATATAATACGCTGGTGAGTAGGCGATCGTTCCGTGATAGGATTTATTCAATCAACCCAGGATCGTTGTCACTTATGAGCCTACACTTGCTTGCTTATGCCATTCACTCATTATTATAATATTCGACTGCAGGTCATAGTCACTGATTTAACTTGATACATTTATTGTCTAAAATTTTAATATAACTACGTGTTTTTTGTGTATTGGCCAGGCCCCGCAATACAACCTTTTATTGTTGTTGATATTGGCTACCCAGATAGTCTCCAGTGGTCCTCTTCCTTGCCTGCAGTAACCAGGTGTTCAGTGATTCATGCCTCACTTATTTTCAGTTAAATTACAAATGAGTGGGTGGGGTGTCACTCATATTCTGAAATGATGCTCGTTAATATATGTAGGCTGTATTCCCTCAGCATCAGGTGTCTCAAGGCAAGATTGAACCATCTTGACAAACAACCGCACGTTACATATGAGCTAATTGAACAGTGTTTTCCCCACCACATTGACTGGGCCCGGGGCTACCGTGCCATCCACCAGGGGAGCAATTTAAACCCACTCCCCCAGTACTACCCTTCATAACCCCAACCCGGAAATCTCGCGTCTCCAGGCAGCCTCTGAAGAGCTGTGGGTCAAGAAGCAAATGTTATAGGTGTCAGAGCAGCCCAGACTATGCATTTCTCATGGGGACTGTCTGTCTATGGCCTGCGTAAAGAGGGGGGATAGTGGAGCGTGGATGGCCGTGTAAGCTCATTGAAATGCTACCCCATACGTTCACAGGGATGGACTCCTACCTCATAGGTGAGCTAACAACAGTGGCATTTGAAACGTCACACAGTATGGAGAAGCGGACATTGATAAGATGCTTTGCAGATGGCGCTCCTCTAGCTTATTATGTGAGCTTAGATGAGGTAGGAAAGGTATTTATATAGACATATAATGAGGAAGGCATGCAGAAATGCTAAATATAGATCATCATTTGGCCATCCATGAAAGTACATAGCCATTACAGGAAATATTCAATGTTCTTTAAGTTTTCTATCCAGTATTGTGAATTACAACTTACAGCATAACCCCAACTTTTGTGAATTGCAGAGAATTTGTTTGACCTAAATCATACCATACTTACCAAACTAACCAAAACAAAACAAAACAAAACCAAACAACCATTACAAAAATACAATATATTCCATGTCTTCACTAAATATGATGCAATGAAGCAGACATCCCCAGGGCCTGTGTCTAACTTAAACTTTACATTGAGACAAAGTGATGTTTACTTTCATGTGTTGGATGAATCGATGCCCTGGTGGAGACATTTATTATGCTGAGTCCATTCTTCTTTGGTCAAAGCCTCATTATGTTGACGCAAGTGCTTCCTCTTCAAAGGTAGCGTTCATGTCATTAATGTGGAGAACAGAGAGTACATGCTGTAATTTCCTGGCTTTCTTCTTGCAAGATGAGTTGTTCTTTAAAGAAAAAAAAATAAAAATGCATTTAAATGACAGAATTTTACATTAAAAATAATCTGAACATTTTGTGGTCTGTGCCCTCAGCTCCTCTGGAAGCACAGGAATGTCTGTGGCCAAGACCACTGTGGACAAGTTGCTGAAGGGATATGACATCCGATTAAGACCTGATTTTGGAGGTACGTTCAATCACTCAAGCTGTGTTTTTAACATTTAAAATGCATTTCTTGTTAGTTCTTTCACCAAGGTATAAGATGTTAATACACCAATGATATTATCTGGATTTTGGTCACTTTGGTGGGAGTAGCGGGCACAAAGAAGAAGCAAAACTCAAAAGATTAATCCCAGATCATAAAAGTGATTTAATTATTTAGTTTTTTAGTGATTTGTGGTGCAAGAAAAGCCTCCTCTGTTAACATTTAGAGAAGCTGTGTGTCTCTTATAGTGAATATACATAACCAGTGATTTTTGTTTTGAATAATTTCACTTTGACTAACATAGAGGCTATCATTATTTTCACGTCATCCCAGCCTGACATGATCTACAAACTAAATATATGTAATCTATATTTAATGTTCATCAAATAGCGTGCTTGTGTCTCTGAGGCTACAGCCCAGATATAGAAATGTTAGGTCAACATTAGCATTTGTAGCAGAGACTCTGGAAGGCCACTCATAGCTGATGTCACAACTCCTCATCTATGACTGCGAGCTTATTGATGGTCCTAATTTAAACACAACACACCAAACAAGACTCTTCTGTTCAGTATTATTGTCCCCATTAATTTTTTATTCTCAAAAAAATCTTGTTTAGAATAGCTAATGGCTGATTACAGTTGGTGCCACAAGAGATAACACAAGGACCGCTGTTTTTTTCCCTCTAGCCTCGGCCATGTTAACAGAGTGTTGTTAATTTAATGAGAGCAAGGAACACAATAGACTGTCTGATGCCACTTCATGTAAATTCACACTAGACCTACAAACCAAAGCAAACATGTTCAAAGGCAACTCACTGGGGGGATATCAACCCACGCTAACTGGCAACCCTGCTTATATTGTTTTTATTTATGGTAAAGAGGCCATTTTATTCCTCTAATTAAATACACAAGAACCCAGATAGGAGCTTTACAACATCACTATTGTCTTGTGGAAACAGATTGCGGCCCATCAGTGCAGAGACTACAGGCTACAAACACTTGATGGAGATGAGAGGAAGCAGGGAGAAACATATAGCAGGTGCACTCCTCATATAACCTTCGTCTGGTTCGGTGCACTGCCAAAAACAGATGCTCTGATGAAGGCTTATGTGCCAGGACGTGTCAAAGTGACGTTAGTGGTTGTAAAAATATGTTTTAGTCGAGGTTACGTCTTGTTCTATTCTTTGGAACGCTGCCATTTTTTCATGAGGTTTTAGTGGAAGGCGAGAAGGCGAGGAGAGAGCAGACTGTTACTTTTGCTTTGGCTGTTCTCAAATGCTGGAGTGAGAGGACAAAACTGTATCTCAGAAGGTAAGGGAGAGGTTGTCCTTTTCAAAATTTGACCTTATGTTTGTGTAGAGATACAGTAATAAGATTTGAAATTTATCAATAGTCTGTGAGACTCTGAATTTTAAACCCATTTGAATCTATTAAAATGTGTTCCTTTACTGACCCCAGCGTTTCAGATCCACATCAACTATTAAAAAATAAATCATATGTAATGTGTAGTAAACAAACACCACCTTTGTTAAACCATTTTAAGGTCTAATAACATGTAAATGCAAACTTGAGAGGTGCCTTTGCTCTGTCTGCATCCTGTATAACTTTGAAAGTGTTCCCTCTTTGCCTCAGCCTGAGGCCAGGGAGCTGTGGTTCATCACATCGTGATGTCTCCAACATCAGTCAGCTGCTTCTGTCCTGACACAAGTGCTGACCACCTTCAGCTCTCCACTTTGGACAAACCCACTTTCATTTGGCCTCTGCTGAACACTCACTGTATCTCTCAGCTTTGCCAACACCCAAACTAGTGCATGGAGCAGATCAGTGCTGAGGGGAACAACTGAAATTTTAATGCTTACACTTATGTAGACCACAGATCTAGTGAATCAAAACAATGCTATATTTGTTTTGCATATCCCACAGCATGTATGTGTGTTACTGTTAATTTACAGTAAGCACAATTAAACACACACTGGTATGTACCTAGTGTGGACCTAATATAAGTTTTGACTGGATTAAGTAAAGGTTACGACATTCTGTTCATGCATATTCAATGTAACATGAAGTGTATGTTGCACATATGAGTAGGCCATATGCCTGGATATGAGGTACTCCATATGGTCCCGACTAATCAAATCATCCACAGCTCTTCATGGGCATATGGGAATTTAAAATCACTGCTTTATACAAAAATTCAAGCAGGACTTTGTTGCCCACATTATATATTTTTTGGCCAAGTCAGGTTATCTTAAATGTTCTACCGATTTACTGATTTCAGTACTACAGCTTTGAGTATCAGCCAATATCCGATCTTAACCAATACCAGTGCAGAGACTGAGTATCATTTCAGACAAAACTGATCCAAATGTGTCATGTAGCTGTCATTTATCGTTCAAATAACTACAAAACAACTTTGTATAACAACTTTGTATCAGTAAATAATCTTATTACATTGATTATACATCCAACCAGGATATTGGCTAAGCAATATTTGGAAGCCAATATTCGATATAGCAAATTTGTCAGTGTCAGCCCCTATGTCCGGTACCAGTGACGCATTGGTTCATACATGTTATGAAAGCAAACAAAAAACAAAAAACAGACAAAAGTTGGTGAACCAGATATACCTATTCCAAATGCTGATTTATATAGACTCTTAACTGCTTTACATGTAATATTCATAGCTGCACCAGCTACAGCTGCCCCAGGGCTGATTGATGGAAACATGGTTACTGATCTGCATCAACTACCGACCACATTCAATCACTCTCGCACTTTTCATAGACAGAATTGGTGACAACATCAACAACATGCCTGGGTGGATCTGAGATTGTTATATTAGCATAACATATGGCTTAAATCTATTGCATCACTAAAACGTTTAAGAGTCAAATATTGTGTGTGTTTTTGTAGAAATCAGGCTAAACCAACACTAATCCGAACCTTCTAGTCAACTGTACATCTGTGTCAGGTCTAAATATTATACTCTCCCATCTGGGAAATCTTTGTAGATGCTATGAATGCTACGAATGTGGAAGTTCAGTTCTGCCGACCACAGCACTTGAAAACAGTTTCTATTTCCCCCTCCTGTTGTCCTCCACTCCAAATACTGTATGGTGTTTATTGGGCCGTCCTTCTGCACAGCTCCCCTCTCATCTGTTCAGCCTTGCATGGATGCACTCAGATTCCTCTGAACATGCAGCGTTTGAGAAAGCTCGGGTCTATGCATATCTCACATCTGCATGATTACTTTCTTGCTCACTTGTTTTCCTCGGCTATAAAACCACTATTACAAACTGCGCCCATCACTGTCTTGAATGCACATGGCAGCTTCTTTTGCGTCCACACAGCACAAATACATGCACTGAGCGTAACAGACGTTAACTAGAAGCTACTGCACTGTGCAAGCGGAGTTTTGCATTTTGATTTAAGGTCGGTAAAGGGTCAAAGGAGTAGTTGTTTGTGTTACCATTTTCCTTTATAAACCCAAGAACCTTACTTCAATGATAGCTTTATATTCAGTCAGAGATTGTAGCCCAATGGAATTTGAGAAGCACTTTATGGTGAAACGTTTGCCATTTGCTTGCCTTCACGGAGATGTTTTGCTTTGTCTAAAATGTTATACAGTATGATATTACAGTAAACTCTTGGAGGCAATCACTCATCTGTAAGTGTCTTTCGTCTTGTAAGATTATTGGGCCACACTAAACAACGTGAGGAAATGAAATCGTACAGTGCACACACTGTGATCTTCACAGTTCGCCAAAATCATGAAAATCAACGGACACCCATCTTAAAACTGCACAGTTCATAAAAACTCTGTAATTGGATAAAGGCTAGAGAGATACACTTAAAGCCATATTGTGGAACATTCTAAGCACCACTAAATACTTACCCCTGTGGAGCTCTACAGGGACCGCCCACCCCCCGGTTCCAGGATAAAATTTCTCATTAATTTTTTCTCTTCGACATTCAGAAAAAAAATGTAGAGTGAAAGTTTGAAAGCTTGCTCAGGGCTAATCTAACCTGATTTATCAGCTGGTTTCAGTTCGTAGAAACCATCTGACCTCGCAGCGTAAGAATTTGTTTGCTCAATAGTAGGCGGTACTTATTTTCATTTAACCAATCACTGCTATTTGGTCGTGATGTATGTAATGCGCCACTAAAGAGGCAAAATGGTATATTAAGCTTTTCCCAAATCCCGTAGGAAGATGGACAATAAATTCTTTTCCCCTTGATAAAATTCACCAAACATTCTCTTTGTTCCGGCTTTAAATCTTCGATCTCAGGAAGCGTTGCAAACACAGAATGTATGGTTCTTCACTGATTGGCTGGTGCCCAAACTCGTACTTCTGAAGTTTTTGCGAACCGTCTACTGTATTCTGATTCCTGACTTAGTCGCAATTGAGCAGAGGCACTAGGTGACACCAGCCTGGCTAGGGCTAATCAGCTATGTGATATCTAATGGCCACAATATCTATAATGTGTTTCTGAAAAGTTATAATCTGCTAAATTATAAAAGCATTTCACAGAATCTTGCATTTTAAACCACCTTGTTGGGTTTAAAACAACGGTATTATTGTAGCTGCTTAGCCTCTGCGATGCCTTTGAACTCTTAACATTTGGATTTTTGGAAAAGTCTATGGGAAAAATTAGCTTCATACTAGAAGAGATTAAAGTGTGATTCCAGGATTTGACAGTGTATTATTTTTCGTCACACATTTATTAGCAGTGTGTTTAGATTTGATCTGGAGTGCTGTAGTTTATCGTTACTTTTCTTCTTTTTCTTTCTTTGTCCATAACATGAAATAAAATGTGTGTAGTCTTATATAGGAATACATTTTCATACATTCTTTCCACCATTGCGTTAGTTCTATTATTTACTGTAGCACTTCCATGTAGGTCTTAAAAGGGGGCGGGTCACTCTTACCAACGCTATCATCATTATCGATCTGTGCATTTAAACAAGAATCATGGGGATTT